GATAGAGCAGGGTTTAGGGCTGTTGTGCATAGGGGCTATGTACACCCAAACCATCATGGTTTTTGGTAGTTTACATCCAAGGACTTTCATCCCTACTATGATATATGAATTCTCTATGTAGAATTTGCTACCACATATTTTTGCCTTGGACTCCATCCTAAAACATTAGAATTACAGAAATAAAATCTCTCTGAAAAATGATTCCTTACTCTTCTCTAGCATCACAGCTCAAAGGCATCAATTTACCTTCTGTCTGCCTTCGTCATTGGCCAACTCTCTGACACATAGCAAGTGATTACAAAGACCATGGCATGTATCAGGCACATCTTATTCCTCCAGAGAGACACCATTGCTCTTCAGTACTTTGGAGAGGTCCCTAACAGCAAATAAATAACAGAAAATAAATAACCTAGACTTTGGTTTATCACTGTGTTAAAACAAATATAAAATTAAACTATTTCCATAACATTTATTAATGCATGAATAGTAAATGTATGTAAAGGTTTGTTGCTATATTAACGTCATCTGGATATTATGCCTTGTATTGTTACTAAATAACAAGTTCAACAGAGTGTAACAAATGTGTTTATTTAGTAGTTTAATTTGCTGGAAATTCACAACTCTAAAAATATTTTCCCATTTACAATTTGACTACTGTAACATTGTCTAGTCACAATGTAAAAGGTACTAGCCAGGCTCATTGATGAACTTCTATTTTTGGTTTGGGTTTTTTTGTGTTTGTTTTTTTTTTTAATATTTTCCTCTCATCATTTCAGCCTATTGCTGTGGAAGTTTTCTCTGGAGATGGACGAAATTACCTCCTTGCTTTCCAAAAAGGAATTAGAAACAAAGTCTATCAAAGGTCTGATTTGTTAGAAATACTTTGCATGCTATCATGGGACTGTTTGTGACTGGGAGACCTATTACCAGTCCAATGAATACTAAGATCAGTGATTCAGTCTTTCTTTTAAGAAAATATTTGTTTCACTTTGCCAGCTGCTTTAAACTTGATTCTTTTTGAAACAGTGTTAATCTGTTTTGAAATAGCACTTTTCCCCCCTTCTTACTACTTAACATCATCAGTCATCAAAAGCTGCTTTTATCCCCAAGTCCTCTATCAAGAAACAGTGAAATAGCACCATAATAATAATGATCTTTTACTGCACAGACAGGGCCGTCTTGCCATCACATCTGGGAGGAACTGAGAGGCTGCCCTGGCCTGCAGATGGGCATATAGCTCTTCTCTGGAGACCCTCTGGGCTTTGAATGTTTGCATCCTCATCCTCATCCTGTTCCTGAGTTATAGCCTGCTGCTTCCTTAAAATAATGATAGTAAAATACTTTAGGTTCAGACAGACTAGTTTGATATTTATCAAATTCCCTGTTCCTTAAAAAAATTATAATCACATGAGAAATTCTAAATCCCATTATAATCTCTGGCTTTTGGAGGGCAGTTGAATGTGGTACTGTCATGTTTTAAAAAAGAATATAGCCAAATGAAGCATAATGTGATCTATGTTTGGTAAACTGTGTCTACGTTTACTCATAGCCATGACTCCTGGAGGTATTTCTGTTAGATGTGTGAATAAAAGGGCTTTTAAGAACTTACCATGGAGATGAGTGGCTTTGTCTTGTTCTTTGAAGGGTGTCACCAAGTTGATTCTGACTCTGTCACATCTGTAGAGCAGAGTAGACTGCTCCAGAGAGTTGACAAGACTTCTGTAATTGTTTGAGGAGCAGACTGTCAAATCTCTCTTTCCTGGAGTGACTCATGGGTTCAAACCATTTCCCTTTGGTTAGCAGTCAAGGGCTTGACCACTGTGTCATCAGGGCTCCTTGAAAGAAGTTCTAGATTCTGCCAATCCCTCTATTCAGGGAACTTTTGTATTGTTGTTGTTAAGTGCCATTAAGTCGCCGGTTACTCTTAGCGACCCTATGAAGGAGAGTCCTCAGCGCTTGGGTGTCCCTTCTCCTCTCTCCAGGTTCATAGGGTTTCCGGAGGCAAGCTATTACGGAAGTGGATGTCCCTCCTCCTTCCAAGCTTGTTTTAATGGGGGAGCTGCACCCCACTAATGGTAACGAACCATTAACGCATTTGACACATCAGTGTCACAGTGTTCGGCCTCACAGCAACCACAAGTGACCGATGTATGATATTGCACTGTAATGCTTTTGTATTAGCTTCTTGGTAAATGACATGCAATTCTGCTCCTCACTGCAGTCCTATACCATTGCGTCTGAGCACAGGAAAAGTAAAGATGGCTGCTCACATAAAGTACTTACAGATGTTTATGAATAGTGCAAAACTTTGAGAGAGGTGGAAAGAGCTAAGTGTTGTACCTGAGGTTTCTTTTTTGTTATGGCTTGATTTCTAAGTTTATGGTATTTACAAAGCTAAGAAAATCCTTGGTTTTCACAGCTAGAAACTGCTATGAGGAAATGAAATTGTTGTTCTTTGACAGATTTCTGTCCATATGCTTAAGTTCCATAGTCACCCCCAAGAATATTTTTCATTGTTTTCTTGAACCTTTGGAAAATTGAATATTGACATTGTGAGCAAATATAGAGTGTATATAATGTTATAGGGTGAAGCTGTATTTTATGATTTCATCTGTCTGTGCTGTTCATTTGTTTAGCTACTGTCATTTGCTGTTACATGAATACTTAGCTGTTACTGATTCTTTAGGACTCGATTAAGCCGGTTCAGTTCCTACAAATGAATACTTTTTTTTCTGGTAGTGTCAGCATGTTATGTTGTTGTTGTGTGCTGTTGAGTCAGAACTGACCCATGACCCATAGCTGACCTTCCAGAGGATTTTCAGAGGCAGTAAATCACCACATGGGAGGAGATTCGCCATCTTTCTCCCATGGAGCAGCTGTTGGATTAGATCTATGTACCTTTGGGTTGGCAGCACAGTTCCTTCTCACTCAGCCACCAAAGTGCCTCATGTGCTAATGAGAATGGTTTAGTTTTTATACATGTCCTCAGTGTGACATTAGCGGGTAATGGGAGGGGAAATGGGAACAACTTAAGTGAATCCTCCTTTTTCAGGCTTCCAGCAGATTCCTGACTGATGCTTCCTTTACAGTTTGAATATTTTTTAAATTTTTCAGGTTTCTGGCTGTCGTGCCGTCTCTAACTGATAGTTCAGAGTCTGTGTCTGGACAGCGACCAAATACAAGTGTGGAACAAGGGTAAGTACGTGACTGGTTGTACATGACAGCTTAATGGTGAAAGTAGAGCTATCGAAAATAGGGTCAGTATCAATCAGTATTTTTTCCAGCATTATTCAGTTGTTTTCTATAATATTCTGTGGTTATTTTCTGTGATCTGGTGATTATAGAATATTTTTTTAAATTGTAGGAAAAAATTAAGAAGTAATTATTTATATCAAATTACTGTTCCCATTTTGGTCTATTCTTTGGTCTTCTCTCTTAAACATACTCCATTCCAGAGTATATGAATGAGTTCATGCTGCAAATGTAGTTTTTCACCTTGTATCTGTCTTTTAGTGTTACGGGTAAATATTGTCCCTTAATGTTCTTCAAAAACATAGTTTTTATTTGCTACCTATTCATTACAGGTATCTTTTCTTTTGATCTATAGTCTTTGTTGTTGTTGTATGCCGTTAAGTATGAAGTGACCTTAGCTGACCCTCTGGTAGGTTTTCAGAGGCATAGGAAGAGATTGCCCATAATATTGCAAGTGTGATTTCTCTTCTTTTTCTTATGTAGAGTTTCCTTAGTAAAAATAGAGTGTGTGTAAATTTTGAGGCTCTTGCTCCAGTGGTAGTAAATATTACCATTTCTGTTTAATTAGAGATTATTATTAGACGGTTCTCCCCACTACTGATGAGTTGATTCTGACTTATGGAGATTGTCCATGTGTTTATGAGGTTGTAAGTCTTTATTGGAAGAAGAGTGCCTAATATTTCTCCCACAAAAAAGCTTTTGGATTCTAACTGCGGACCTTCTGGCTGGCAGCCCAGAACTCTGCACCACCAGGGCTCCATATAGCACAGTGGGCCAGGTTTTGTTTTCCAAACCCTTGACTACCACCTGTAATGTGAAATATATACTGCACCGCCTCTCTGGACTCACATACTGAGTCATAAATACTAAAGCAACATTCACAGACTGTATTTCCCTTTCCTGTTTGAAGTATCAAAACATTCTCTCTTGGTGAGCTCTGGTGGCATGGTGGCATTCCCAGAGGTGCACAGTTCGAATCCACCACATGCTCTGCTGGAGAAGAAGGGACAGTCTCCTCCTGTACCTGTTAGATCTGACTTGATGGTATACAGACACACACAAATAATAATAAAATAAAATAAATTTTAAAAAGTATTTTCTCTTTTCTTTGGTTTTATGGTGTTTAAAATTTCAGAATAGTGATTACAACTAACTTCATGACCCACTAATGAGTAGGTCCTCCAGTGTTTAAAATATGTTTTTGTCAACTCTCTTATTTTTCAACTTTCTAATTTCCTAGGTTTAAAATTGTATTGCCTCATTATTATTTATTCCCTTTAGATCTGGGTTGCTTAGTACTCTGGTTGGAGAGAAGTCTGTAACTCAGAGATGGGAGGTAAGCTTAATGGAAATGTAACTTTTCTCAGTAATTAACTGCTTACAAATATAAGGCCTCTGGTTAACCACCTGCCATCAGGTCAGTCTGACTCATAACAACTGTCTATTGGATTTCCAAGGTTGTAAATCTGGATATTTTGAATTTTTTCCTCTCAGAGCCAGGTACAAACTGTGGACCATGAGGTTAGCAGCCCAACACACTATATCTCCAGGGCTTTTAAGGTATATAGTTAAATGGATTCTAATAATCCATAGGGGAAAAAAA